CAGTTGATGGTAGCGATTGACTTCTATAGTATGGAAAAGATACTATGGTAGTCAGTGGCTACCGTCAACTGTTTGGTTACCCACATTCAATATATATTCTTTTATGGTCAACAGAAGAATGAAACTCATACAGGTTTGGAACAACTTGAGGATTACGACATTTTCAGCAAATTTTAATTTTTGGGTGAACTATTCCCTTAACCTCTTCGACAGCAGACTTCTTGCGACAAGGCATTCACGTAAATGCTCAAACTGCAAGCCATGAGTTCTCAAAAAACGTGGACGAAAGGAAACAGTAAACAGTAAAACTTGCAGCAACAAACAACAAAACCTGATAAACTGTTCAATGCCTTTCCACTGTTTGTCTTTACTGCTAACATTCACGTATAAGGACTAATTCTATGAAAGAAAGAAAGAAAGAAAATCTTTTTAGAAGCACAACAGTAGTAGAAAACATAAATTTGTTATATACAATTTTAATGTTGACCTTTTTTTTTACTATTACTACTAAAATCTTTCTTGTCATTCCAAAGTTTGACATATCCTCCATCACTTGTGTGTTCATTTAATAAATATTTGAGCTAACTTAACAACATAAACTACAATTAACATATTTTAAAACCAAAGTATGTGCAAAAAGTGTGTATTCCATACGGGCCTACTTAACACATTCTTGCACAGCAAAGTCATCTGTAGCAACTCCAACACAAGAAGCATTAAATAAATGTGTGAATAAAGGAGGATAAAAATAAAAATAGCCAAGCTCCCATCACGGGGCCCATTTCTCTCTCAGTGGCCATGTGCTGGGACGACTGAGGAGTTAATACAAAACTAATTAGCAAAAACTGACTGGTGCCAACCCCCCTCATCCCTTTTCCTGCCTCACTACGCAGGGGGACAGCGGTAAGCCCAGAGCACAGGTGTACCGCTCACGCCGGCACTAGATTACTGCCCACTGCCTCTGCGCTCAAAACCCTTCACCGCACTCCCCAGGCCGCAGTTATGTCAGAGAGGAAATGGAGTGTGATGAGCAGCATTTTAAACGAATTGTGCATGTTTTGCATGTCGGAAAAGAAAGAAACACAATCGTTTTTGAACCACAACAATGAAAGCGATGCATTAATGCACGGTTGAGACCCTATGTTGAGCGCTAACTAACATGGTCCAAATCTGCAAGGAAAGATCGGCACTGACAATGCACATTAAACGGATTACACGAATTTGCCTCGCAATCAGGTTTCGAAGAAATTCACCCACTAAAGGCAAGTGGCTTCGCAACAAAACATCTTACAGTGTTTCCCCCGTCCCAGAACCATCTGCTTCGTTTAATCCAATCACATTGCAGCAGGAGAAAATGGTTCAAAAGGAGGTCAAATGCAATGATATTAAAACTGACTGTGCTGTATCCCATCATTGGATCCGAGCTGGTTCTTCAGCACTGGGTCCGTGCCAGAGTGGCGTTTGCACAATCCGGGCAGAAAAGATAACTTGTTGCATGATGTATTTTTATGAATGGCCGACAACCTCGTTTTTAATGAATGGTACTGTGTGAAAGAGCACAGTGGCATGGTCATTGTTGCAGTAACAGGGCTGGTCGGTGGGATTTAGCGAGCAGAAAGCAGGGGAGGATGGGTGCGAGGGGGTGGGGAGGTCCCAGCCCACAATGTGTACTGCAGTAACCACAACAAAGGCTGTGGTTTATCCCACAATCGCCTTAAATAGATCCAAATTATTGTTGTTCCTCAGCCTGTGAAAAGGAAGAGGAATATAAAACGGCTGTAACACAAGATGTGCCAAAAGTCAGCCTGGAGATATCCACAGATTCAGTTACTGGCGCAAAAAAAAAAAGTTCTACGAATCGACGGCTTGCTGTAGCCTTTGACTGGCTTTTGCAAAAACTTTCAGCCAGCTTCCTAGAACTTAATACGAATTTACAAAAACTTATGACAGTGCACCTTGAGCATGCGTCATCAAAGCTAACTAGTTCTGAAAGACACACTGTACAGTAAATCTGTTTAAGAGCTCACATGGAAGTGGGTCAGATGTCTTTACAAACATTACACACGCAAACGGTTTGTTCAACGCAGCTCCGGGTCAATTAAGGTAAGTCCAGTATAAATATCTATCAGCCTGGCTGGAAATGTACACACGGACCCGGTTGAGCGTTTGTTATCTATCTGTACCAGCGGTATCCTTCCATTGTGTAGTGAGTCTGAAAACACTGGAATGAGACACAACTACATTTCACAGCAAGTGAAATTGCATTTAGTTGACATATATAATGACAGGAACTCTAATTGAGTTTTTCATCAAAATAAGTACTTATTAATGCATCTTTTTAATTCTTAATGACAACACAATATCATTTTTTTCCCCCAAAAGTAATAATTTAGACTTTAACCTGAATTTGAATGGGAACTGAATCTTAATCTTACATCAAGATGATTTTATAAATTACTAAATACATATTTATTTAAAAATATTTTAAAGGTAACTTATATGATAAAATACCCCAAAATAAATGAATTAAACAAATAAATATTGCAAGGGAAGGATTGTGAGCTCATGACTAAATAAATAAAAATAAATAAATAAATAACATTCAGTCTTAAATGCAATGTAACTACGATTTTGCAAACAAAACAAAGAAACAAGCTGCCTGATATTCATGTACTTAAAAGGAAACAGTCACTGGTGTAATGTTAGTCTGGGTCTCCACGGCTATTAACCCCTTACGGCTGGTTTAAATGGCACACCACTCTGTGGCCCAAACAAAACCACCTGTTTTAACAGGAGGTCAAGGGGGCAACCCAAAACCAAAGCTTGCCCTCCGCTTGACTGGCTGCTAATGGGAGTGGATGTTTATCTAGGAGGTCAAATGCCTTGAAGATGGGTCAAGACCCTAACATCTTAAGCCGTGACCTCTCCCACGTGTGGATTGCTCCTGTCGTAAATTAGCCACGGTTACAAGTCCTCAGGCTTCAGTGAACACCACATTTGTGTCTTCTTCTAGTTCTCGTGTTACTTTCTGTCAAGAGATTTATGGCATCGGACTAAAATTATGAACTGTGTGACTACTGAGATTAGAAAAATGGGTTTTTAAAATACATGTTCTAAGAAATCAATTTCAAAAATATGGGAAAATATTGAAAAAAATTAAATAAAATACTGAAAAATAGTGCAAAAATGTAGAAGTACAAACTTTTAACTTTAACATATTATATGAAAAAGACTGAAAAATATTTTTCAAAACTATCAGCAGTGCAAAAAGACTGATAAATATTGCAATATGGAAAGAACTGAGAAATACAAGCTTAAATTTACATAAGAACAATTGATTTTTTTCTGAAAAACTATTAAATAGAGAAATTCAAACTTAAGCTCACATAAGTAAAATACAAACTCAACCTTGCAAATGATAAGAAAAAAATATTTAAAAACTATTAAACATTAGTGAAAATATTGAAGAAATATTTAAAGAACTGAGAAATACAAAGTTAGAGTTACATATTCTATGAAAAATATTTAAAAGCAATGAACAATAGTGAAAATGTTGAAGGACAAACCTAAACTTACACATATTGAACATTACTGCAAATATATTTAAAGAATTGGGAAATACAAACAAGCTCACATATTATAAGAAAAATATTGGGGGGGAAATGCAAATTACACCAGAAATACAAACTGAAAAGTCAAACTTGTAACTTATTTCAATTGTTCCTCTAGTGTATTTCAGTTTACCTAGATTGTACTGAATCCTCTCTTCCGGCAATTTCCCCTAATATCGATAGGTAGCTGTATTATTGTCTAGATGAAGTGGGTGTGTTTGCTGGCCTGCACCCCTTTGCCCTGGGAAGACTGTGGGATAAATTTAATTACTGACTTTAGCTTCTCTCAGAAGCCCCACTTTCGCCATCTGTGTATGAGGTCAGGCTCTCTTCAGATGGCTTTTAATCAAGGGGTCTCCAGCAATGCTCCACTGCTTTAAATAAGACAGAGGAGGAAACCTGATCAGCCCGAATGCAGGTCAGAGACGAGGAGAGAGAGACTCCCGCGTCTTTCTTCCTCTTGTTCTCTCGCTGACGTCTCTTATTCACCATCGAATCAAAAAGAAATGGTAACTTCGCCGATTAGGATGTTAGCAGGACGCTCCCCACTGAATAGGCTTTCAGAACATCAAAACTAAAAATTTCGGCGGGCCGCGGGGGAAACGCGTTTCAGTGACGGTGTCGTACTTATCCTCACAAAAAGCTCAAAGGCTCCGGGCCTTTGTGTTCCCACCAAGTCAAAGTAATTCACACGCTCACGTTTTGCAACCTGTCGTCTGCCAGATACCCCGTTTTTCCGCCGCAGCACTAAAGCTCACGTTTTATGGCTTTATCTCCGCCGTCTTCAGGTTACACGGCGTTTTCACTCTTTTATCGGTCCCTCATCAAAGCGCGAGTCTGTACGGAACGCAGGGAACGGTGGATTCGCGTGCTGCCAACTCGCTCAGTGCCACAATTTGCGTGCGAGAGGAAATGAATGTAATTAAGGTGCTCAGTTTGCCTGGCGAAACAAAGTGCGCTTCTTGACTTCCAAGTGAAAGCCTGTGTTTGTGCCGCTGTCAGTGCAAGATGGATCCCCTACCGCCTTCTGCCAATTAACAGTCCCTCCGTCAGATATTTGCGCCGGACTTTTCCATGTTAGCTTCTTGCAGTTAGCAATCAGCAGGAATAACTTCAAATAAATCACATTATATGTTTGATTTAAACATAAAATTCACTCTCATTTACATATTCAGTTTTTTTTGCCATATGTGGCATAAAGGAAATGTTATGATTCGATTTGAGTTTAATTCGACGCACTTATCCTATATTTCCCAGATTCCTTATTGACTGCTGATGGATTGTAAACAGTAAAATCCTAAAAGAATTGAAGTGCAATCTATTATGATCATTTGCATTTCACATTTTGCATACGTTCAACAGATTTAGTGAATTCAAAACGGGACTTACCTGCATGCACAAAGTAGGCCAAGTACAGGTCGAGCTCCTTTACGGAAACTCCTATGTGATGCGGCTGCACGCACAGCCCTGGATTCGAGCACTGCTGAGACTTAACCAGCCTTTCGCCGTCAGTACTTTCAAGCGGAATACCTTTGAATAAAATCACCATGACCAGGTCCAAGCGCCACACTTTGTCCGCCTGACGCAGGCAGTCGATTCTCCTTATCTTGCCCTTCTGGTCGGGGTTGGAGAGCACACAGCAAGGGGGCTTCTTCCCGGTGACAGTGAGCACAAAATCCTCGCGGAACTCCGGCCGGATGTCCTTGCGGAGTTTGGCCAGCAACCGCGATGCCCACTTCTGCTTGACCTCCGGCTTCTCACTTAGCAGCTCGTCCTTCACGGCTCGCTCCTCTTCCTTAGACATGCGCTTCTCGTGCTTCTTGAAGTATTTTCTCTTGCGGGCCTGCAAGTTGAACCAAGTGTAGGAAAACGCTTTCACATGGGGCAGCAGTGCTTCAATGAAAGGATGGAATTCATCCTGCGAAGAAGGACAAGGGAGCAGAAATTAGACTGTATGGCTAGAGTTAAAGTTTTAGAAACATCCTTAAAAATATATTTCAAAAATACAAAGTTACTAATTACTAACTGTAATTCTTCAAAAAATCCAAGCTAAAGTTAAAAAATAACGAGAAAGATAAATAATCTTTCTAATAAAAGAAAGATTTTTCACATCAAACACCATGAAAGGGAAACATGTACGTCTACATAAAATCCCATTTGATTATTTGAAAAACGGCCCTCAACTGAATGTGTCTGTGAACCGAGCAGGGCAGTGTGTGTGTGTGTGTGTGTGTGAAGCTCGTCTAGGACATATCTTGGCTCTCTGGCAAGAATGTTGGTCTGTAGGGGTCTGCCAGGGCCGAGAAAAAGCAACAACCGACTAGGAAAATTGGAGTGGCTATTTTTATCTGTTCTCCATAAAAATGCACACACGATTCCAAAAAAACGGAGCTACTTCATTCTCTATCAGTGAGGAGTGTGTTGTTTTCAGACAGGAGTATGTGCGGGGCAGATTGTGCCGGGTTTTGGGATCTCTTCACCTGCCGCTGGTGCACAACCTGGCAGAAAATAAATTTTTAAACAAAAAGATCAGTGAAATATTGGACGTGGCATTAAAACATCTTTTTGTACATGGCAAAACTCATTCTTTCAGTGGATATACTCATGCAGTGATTTAAAAAAAAAAATCTACAATAGGAAATATATTTTAATATTTGCAGAATATTCTTGTATATAACGTGAAATGCAATTATTTAGGAAAGCTGCAAAATGCAGTAACTGTTAATAAAGGATTTTTTTATTATACAAACTAGAAGCATTTTTAATACTGTACATGTGCTTGGTTATTAAAATAGTAAATATCCAATGCATGCTTTTCTGTATTTGTAAGCCTGCATGTCCATTTCTTTAATGCCTTAAAAAAACAATACACACTAATAACTGGGCAAATAAATAACGTGCGGTTTCTAATATGAAATAATTTGGGATTTTACACAGAAAATAACTTAGGGTTTTTATTACATAGAGAGAATAATGGCAGACTGCCAATCACTAGAATAACATTTCCACAAACAGCAATAGCCCTGCATCGTGTCCCAAAACCGAGCGTGCGAGAGCATGAGAGGGCTGCCAGCAAGCAAGCAAAGTGCACTATGTGCTGAGTGCAGATTTCATTTGAATAAGCACAGATATGAATATAACGCGCTGGGCCTCGGACTAGTGCCTTTAGAAATTTAACAATTAATTCGGCGTAATTTAGGAATGTTAATTAAATGAATTTCTCAGGCCAATTTCAAGCACTGCTGATAATGTTTGTTTCGTAATTAGAAATAATCACAATATGCCACTGAGCAAAAATAAATAAATATTTATTACAAAAAAACAAACAAAAATATTTTAATAATTATGGAGGTTTATTAAGCTGCAGATTGAAATAAATGTAGTGTTGGTGTAAGATTACTACACGTCATATTAATTATAGCTGTAGATTCAACAGCAGACTTCATATGGATACATATTGTCATATCTCTTTTGTTACACCACAGGAAATTGAGGATTTGCATAATCACATATCATTATTATAGAGTATGGCACAACGTGTGTGTGTGTGTGTCTCCTGTGAGAACGTATATGTTTAATCATATTGTTTCCTTCCTGTCTTGTTCAAGAATCAAACTCCCTTGCCTCCGAGGCATAAAAACTGTATTGTTTCATCCTGCATTTAAATCTTCCTTCACTGACTCTCCAAGTAACTTAATCCAAAATCTGTGAAATATTGTTCCTCGATTACTGATATCATCTATTGTTGTGTTTTTATTCATGTATATTATATGCTTTTTATTTTCTTTTTTTTAAGGATCTGTTGCAGACTTGTCTACGCTCAGACTTCTTGTAAAATTGCTTGGGGAAAAAAATCAATATGGAAAATCTCCAGACGAGAATCGAGCGCTCTACTGTAAAAACATGATGTTAACTTTTTGCAGTTCTCTAGCGATGTTTTTAAATAAAACAACCGACTGCTAGAATTATTTTGTGGATGATACACAACGGAGCGTAATTTAACATGCAAATTATAATTATGAGAGCATCCAGAAAGCTTGTTTTCTTCTTTTGTTTTAATTCTAGCAATTCATGAAAACCGAATTCTACATGCTCGTAGCGGCAGAACAAACAGCTCTTCACTTTTTGGAGCGTGCCTGAGTGTCAATATAGGGTCTGGTTAGCATGTCAGGTTTTTCCAGACTCCTAAAGTGTTTCAAGCTGAACCTCGCTGTCCTATAGGAAGGCCTCAGCAGGGAACAATAGTGCCTCGTGGCCAAAAGAGACAAGAGAGTTTTAACACATGCAAAACTATTACGAAAAACCGACAATGTGAATACACAGTTCACCTAATATGACGTTAATACAACAAAAGGCCAATGTATATTTATGCATAAACTAAAATACGTAAAAGTGTTGAAAATGTGTTATTTGGATTTTAAGGATTTTACTATAAAATGAAAGCAGTATACAGATGTGATTTTTGGCACTCAGAAGACTACATGAGTCCTTAAAAATGACACACACACACACACACACACACGCACACACAGAGAGAGAGAAAATAGACCTCATACTGACTTAACACCGCAAAAGAGAGGAAATCAATTGCCCGTCTCAATTATCATCAATGCAACTAAGATTTTTAGACATTTAATAATATTACTGTCAAATTATATTCAAAAGAAAGGACACAGTGCTTTCATTTTTTTTGTAAGACTGTAAGCTGTTTATCACCGAGTGCATTATTGCTCAAAATTCTGAGTATCATTTATTTTTAATAAGTACTGTTTTTAGCAACAAATATTGGTACTCAAGTAAATGAAATATATGAGCTATATCTAAGTTCTTATGTGAGGTTTCAAGCTAGTGATATTGTATTACATTTACTGTGACTGATAAATTATGAAAAGCTTCCCCACAGTTTTGCATGGATTTATTAGAAATAAATAGTTATAAAAGAACTTTTGCGAACATATCCAAGTCTTACATTATCAATTCGATATAAAGACAACCTCAAAGTTTGAGATCTTCTCAGCTTAGTCTTTCTCCACACATTACACATAATTTGTCTGGTTTTCGCATGAATCCTTTCCAGTATCTCCAAACAGACTGTAACTAACACAGTCAAAAGAACGTCCCTATATGCAACACAATACTGAGGCCTTCTCCTTTGTTTTGTGCATTCAATAAAATGCACTTAACCAAACAGTTTAAAATCACGTCAAGACTGCAGTATAACGCTACAGCTTTTCCAGAACTGTCACCTCACTTCACCTGCCACCATGATTCACACAATGAATGTTTTTTAAACCTCTTTCAATTGCTGGCCAACTTTAGTTTTATTCTGTGCTAATTACTAAAGTACGATAAGCAACAAACAAACAGCACTGTGCATATATATATATATATATATATAAAACAGCACATTATAAAGTAAGTTATCAAGCATGACAGCACCAAATGTCTTAACTAAAAAAAAAACTTATATTCAACTTATCAATATTTAGAACTGCTGCTAAATATCAGAAATATAGACAGTGAAGCTTGCAAAAGACTAAATCAGAGTTTCTGCTGCCTTGAAGAAAAAGTCTCATAAGCAGCAGAAAAGCTTTTTTTTTTGCCGGCAGCTGGTTCAAACGAATGTTAACACAGAAAACGGCATAGCTGTATTGATACTTAATAACAAAACGCACATAAATATTCTGATCTCAAAAATGTGTTTAAAGGTGCAGACGTTAATTTGAGGTTTTAAACTCAAAAACAGCTTGGTGTCATAGCAGAAGCTTTTAAAGTCATGCAGAGTTTTTATTTAGTATTTCTCGAGTTCTGGTGCTTTAAGAAACCCAGAGTGCTGAGAAAAACCTACAAATGCAACAACGTCAAGAACTTTTGAATCTCCAAATAACCATAAAGCAACCTAATAAGAAGAGCTTACTTTGCTGAATTGTTAAAGAACTTTATTTTACAGATCAAATGTGCATAACGCTGACTCTGCGAGCTCACTGTAACGTTTTCTTTCATGCACAGCGCTCAACTTGCTAAAAATCAACGTCCGTCCCCATGCAAAAAGCGGCTAGAATAAAATTCAGCTGTTCATAAATGTGCACAAGAAACATATTTGTGCGTAAGGTGGGCGCCATCCGCCATGTGGTAGTTCAGTTGGCTCTGTCAGAGCAGAAATGCCTTAGTGCACACTAAGTTACTTGTCTTAAGCAAAGGTTAGTCCCTATCCGTGCTGTCCCGGCCAAAGACACCGCTCAAACGCAACAAACAGAGTTAATAATAGACGAAAATGTCACTTACCTGAGTTAGGCATAGCGGAGAATACATATCCGTCGGTTTTAACTCTTGAACTGGCGATGTATATGTTGTGTGTGTGTGCGTGCGTGCGTGTGTGATTGTATGGGGTGTGTATGTATATGTGTGTATGAAAAGAAAGAGAGAAAAAAAGAGAGACAGAGAAGAAGGGAGAGAGGGAAAATAAAGCCTTGCTTCTTGCTTTCACATTTCCAACTCTGCGAAGTGCGCGCGACGCTTCAGCGCTCCATAGAGCTGAACTTTAACCCCGCCTCGAGTTACACACATCTACTGTACTGTACTGCTAAAGCCGTATATCCAAACTTTCGGCATTATCATCAAGTGCAGCCTTAGAGAAAAGTCCCGACGACGGATGGCTGGAAGTACACGGAGATTTCACAGAGCCATGAGTGAATGAAAGTGTGGTGATGAAGCGCCGAGAGGAGCGATTATTTCATCTTGCGGTCATTTGAATAGAAAAAAAGGATAGAAAAAGTCGTCCGGATGCGTTATCAAACTCGCGCTTGGTTCATTCGTCGCTGTCTCTTATAGCGCCGCGCCGCGCGCTTGCATCCGCCGTGAGGCATGTGGCGGTGCGAAGCAAAACTGAGGCGGATTTACGAGCAGCGAGGAGGGCTCGGCAAGCTTAGCAAGATTGTAATATCCTTAAAACCCCCTGTTGCAAAAGCTGCCACTTGTGTCGCGGTTAGTTTCGAGGGAGAGAGAGAGAGAGGCAGAGGGGAAAAAAGTGAAGCAAGCGCACGATTCGAGTCCGCTGAGACGAAGCTCCCGTTCACTTTTGCCGTTCAAACTCTTGGGCTCTTCCATCAGCACAGCGCCCTCAATATCGGCACGAGAGCCATACACATGCGGGACAAGAGAAATGCGCACTCCCAATGCCGCTGCACTTCGTGTACACCAAGTAGCCTATTGTAACGCAGAAAGTATGATGATGAATTTAACTTACATCTTTAGCGTGCAGTTGATGTCTTATAAACAAATAAATAAAAGGGTACTTTTGAGAAATAAACGGCTGGAAAAATAAGACACTCGTATCGCATTCACTACCCTCAGTGGTGTGTTGCCAAATGATCAAATAATTTCAGATTTTACAAATCAGCAATCATTTTAATGCAGTTCTTGCTAAAGGTGCGTTTGCACATGAATGTTTAGAGGCAGCATAAGGGCAACTGATTCTATATGCATAATTTCAAATACTAAATCAAATGTAACATTTAATAAAAAAATTAATAAATAAAACACTGATTATAAAAAAAATGCTGCGTATGCTTAAATAGGCTACACGTTGTCATTTGAAAAACCAATCAGAAGATTTAAGTCTCAAAAGCCTTAAGTGCAACATTACACAATACTCGCTTCATTTAACTTTAGTTTGTACGCGAAATCCATACTTATTTCTAATGATTTAATGAACCGGTTCAAAAGAGCCAATCGTCGGGGAACAGAACAAGCATGGTCAGGCTGTGTGCAGTTGATTCACTAAAAGAATCGACTCAAAAGAGTCATTCGTGTGAGAATCGGACTACACTTTTTTGCGTTTTACGTTTAAAATTCACTAAAAAAGAGTGTCATTCATTTTGGTAATCGCACTATACTGCTCGCGCAATGTTTATGATTCACTAAAAATAAGCAGACTGCAAACATTTAGCGGCATCGGACGTCATTAGCTAAAAAAAACCGTTGCGTTACGAATGATCGCGCGATAAATCGTTTATAACTCTAGAAAAGCGTTCTTTTCGTTGCTACAAGAGCAATAAATAAACGAATGCTTATTTTTGTTCTTCACATGCAGCATTTCTTTCCTCGTGTGTTGAACATTGTTTCAGAATCTTTGGAAACGGCCAGTTATAAGCACCAATGTTTTCAGTATCATCTTTCATTTCATATTGCATATGCATATTAATATTTATATCTGAGATTTTGATATTACAAAGAGCCGATGCAACAGACCACACAGAATGAAATTGTGAATGTTTAAAAAAAAACAAAAAACAGCTAAATCCATCTGAATAACTTCAGTGATTAAAAAGTAAGAAATGGACACTGATGGATAGGAAAGCGACAGCCAAATGCAATGTTATGTTTCTAATCACGTGTGCCGAACGTGCAAACACAGATTTTGATATTACAAAGAGCCGATGCAACAGACCACACAGAATGAAATTGTGAATGTTTAAAAAAAAAACAAAAAAAAAACAGCTAAATCCATTTGAATAACTTCAATTATTAAAAAGTAAGAAATGGACACTGATGGATAGGAAAGCGACAGCCAAATGCAATGTTATGTTTCTAATCACGTGTGCCGAACGTGCAAACACCATTAATAAGCAAACCTAGCTCATGTAATTAGTTTGGTTGGCACTCAACAGCGTTTTATTATTAACCAACTACTCTCGCCTGTAAGTCAATCGGGCGCCCCCTAGAAAACGGCAACGTGCAGGCTTCATTTCAGCACACACACAAAAGTGCTTTCCAGAAAGACAGGATGATATTCTAAATGGAATATTAGTCTGTTGGAGACAAAAATAAACACTATATCCCATAAAGTCAAGCATTTGATGTGCATCAAAATGTGTGTGAGCATCAACCCGTAAACAAACACCAAGGTGAGTTTTGTTAAATCTAAGATAGGTGATGATTAACAAACCACTGTATGATAGAAAAGATAGGAAACTGGATATTAATTATGCTCACAACTCGCAGTCACACTAACTTGCTGCAGGTGCACGTCCGTCCCCTCCGGTGTTTTCAAGAGCTACTCTGTGATTGGACAAAACAGTGCAGTTCAAAACTCACGACGCCGCTATTGGGCAAGTTTCACGCGCGTGTGACTGCAGCCACTCCTGCACGCCGCGAGACGAACTCCTTCAGACAGCCGGCTTGTCGGTAAACACACGGAATAGAGAGAGCGCTTATCTTCATGATATCAGACTTCCGTTTTGTTTTGACAGCCTGACGGGAAAATGCGTTGTCTCAAACATTATGATGTAGCAGCCTATAAAACCGACACATTTTGCTGATCACAGATGAATGGAAATAAAAGCAATTCTTTTGTATTTGTTGTTTCCAAATATCTATATCGTCTAATAGCTAAATGAACTAGGCTCCTGTCAACCTTGTCACTTAGGCTACCTCAATAGCCCATATATGATCTATTTTTCTGAAATTTAACTTGAGATGGCAAAATCAAATTTATTAGAACTTAAATAGGCTATCATCTTTGATAGAATATTTCAAATATTGAAAGAAATTTGTTGTTGTTGCACCCATTTATTAGAAATGATCCTTCATAAACATACACACACACTAGTTTTTGTAGTAGGCTAAAGCGAAAAGCAAAGGGGGGAAGAAGCATGTGCCGTTCTCAAAAAACACAAAAACGTTCTTTTCCACTTCTGTATATTTGACAGGTACCTAGGTGTGCAACTTGGACTTGGTCTGGAGCACTAAAGTTGCAATCGATTCTGCAGCTCGCGCTTGTTTAACTCCGCAAACGTATTCATTTGAACGGGAACTTAACGGGAACGGGTTTCGACGTCTCGCCTGTCAAGACTTGAAACGGGAGTCGCGTGGCATCGTTCATTTTTACACGTGAACTGCGTGCCGACAGATCGGCGCCTGTATTTAATTATGCAGCCTTTACAAAACTTAAAAGCGGCCTATAGAAAATTGACGAGAATTGGATCGATTATTCAAATTTTTACTTTGCAGTGCTTTTTGGAAAGTCGAAATTAAATGTATATTAATAAACACCGGATATTAATTGATTTGTGGAGCTTCTAAAAAATGCCCACTCGGGCCTAAAAGTGCTGAGGACTGACTTCAAAACTCCAGTCAGAGATATTTAGATATTTGCAATCACTGTACGTCATTTAATGTACATTTACGCACTGATTTCAGCACTGATCGGTCTGAAATTTAACTTGAGATGGCAAAATCAAATTTATTAGAACTTAAATAGGCTATCATCTTTGATAGAATATTTCAAATATTGAAAGAAATTTGTTGTTGTTGCACCCATTTATTAGAAATGATCCTTCATAAACATACACACACACTAGTTTTTGTAGTAGGCTAAAGCGAAAAGCAAAGGGGGGAAGAAGCATGTGCCGTTCTCAAAAAACACAAAAACGTTCTTTTCCACTTCTGTATATTTGACAGGTACCTAGGTGTGCAACTTGGACTTGGTCTGGAGCACTAAAGTTGCAATCGATTCTGCAGCTCGCGCTTGTTTAACTCCGCAAACGTATTCATTTGAACGGGAACTTAACGGGAACGGGTTTCGACGTCTCGCCTGTCAAGACTTGAAACGGGAGTCGCGTGGCATCGTTCATTTTTACACGTGAACTGCGTGCCGACAGATCGGCGCCTGTATTTAATTATGCAGCCTTTACAAAACTTAAAAGCGGCCTATAGAAAATTGACGAGAATTGGATCGATTATTCAAATTTTTACTTTGCAGTGCTTTTTGGAAAGTCGAAATTAAATGTATATTAATAAACACCGGATATTAATTGATTTGTGGAGCTTCTAAAAAATGCCCACTCGGGCCTAAAAGTGCCTGACTTCAAAACTCCAGTCAGAGATATTTAGATATTTGCAATCACTGTACGTCATTTAATGTACATTTACGCACTGATTTCAGCACTGATCGGCTGAACAGCGCCTATAGGCCTACCAACTGTTCACCTTCACCAGAAGGGTCAGGTGAACTGCCTCAACTCAAAACTACCTAACAACCAAAAAAGCAGTTTAGGAGATATTTTTCTAGAGTGACAAATAAAGAGATTAGAGAACATTTTAACAGAAATTCACATGACTTCATATTCCCTTTGAAAAAGTTCAAATTAATGTCCTTGCACGTTGTTATCTGAATGACCCTGCTTTTTCTTACACTAGATTTAGGCTTAAATATAACAATTCATGTATCTATTCAGACTCTAGACTGTAGGCCTAATTCAAATCGTGGTAGTATAAAATAAAAACGTTATTAAAAATGAAATATATTGTTGTGTGTTGTCTAACGATGAAATGAGCTGCAAAACTTCGACCGTTTATTCAGGATTGTTTTCTGTTGGCCTTTTATGAAGCAAGACCAATGTTATCAAGCGACAATCATTATCATTTATAACAAAAATCTAAAATTCACATCATTTTGTCTCGTCTAATTGTGGGAGACATTAGAGACGCCTTTATAGTATATTCTGCCAAGTTCTATGAGAAGGCACTGAATGCCAAGGCAACTGTGCCAAGGCTTTTGGAGGCAGAGTGGCAAAGACGAAGCAAAAACTGCAGTGTGGATAGGACAACGGAGCAAACTACGGGGACTGGACTCTTCGAAACAAACTATAATTTGGGTTTTATTGTGCATTTTCAGCTCATTTTTAAATGTGGCAAAAGGCACTTAACCCACTTGGATGGAGTTTCTCCCTGACTTGTGTGGTGAGTACAAATCACTTTTTTTATTATTCATTATTGCAAAAGAATGAAGAAGAGAAAAAATGAATAGGCTATATCTGGAAGGTTTTATTTGAGAATCCATTCGGGCTTTAGCGGGTGCGAAAGCACAACGCTGCCAGACGAGTATGCACGTGTAAATCTATCAATGTGTGTGTGTGTGTGTGTGTGTGTGTGTGTGGGGAGGGGAAAAAAAGTGCGCGCGGAAGTTTCACTGAACATCTCGATGGTCTTCAGGGGTAAAAAGGTATAAAACTCAGCGTTAGATCGCCATCTAATGAAAAACTATCCTTAGTGTGACTAAAAAAATGTTGTATAAGAAGTAAAAAAAAAAATGAAGCAACTTATCCATTTGGTTAATGTTGTTTATTACTTTAAGTGGACCCAATAAAAATAACAATTAAGCAAGC